CGCGCACATTGGTCACCTGCCGCTTGGCCTTCTTCTCCTCCCGAAGCCTCTCCTCCCGACGCCATTGTGACTGCTGCCTAGCTGCCGTGTCTTGACGGCGTTGAGCTTTGCTCGCGTCCAGCTCATGCACCGGCTTACGCAAATCCTCTCTGTTTCTGATAACACCGGCCTCCTCCTGGCTCAGAACAGGCAGCACGCCTGCCGTAATGCGACCCTGCAGCAATGACAAAACCTCCGACTCTCTGCGCTGGGCAATTGTTGGNNAAGTACGCAGCTGCATTGTGAGCAAGTAGCTTTGCTAGGGCAAAAGCTGACAAATGCAGCTCCAAGACCTCCACATGCTGCTGGACTATGACCTCTTGCGAGGACTTCAACTGGAAGTGCAATGCCTCATTCACACACGTGCCAAAGCTCAAGAGCTGCAATTGGGACTTAGGCAACACCCGCGAGAGTCTCGCGTGGATGTGTGACCCATTCAAAAGGTACCGGAAATGACGATGAGAACCACCGGCATGAATGATTTGCAGCACGGTCCGCCCCTTCTTATCTTTGCGTTTCATCTCATCAGGGAAGCGAAGACAGACTGCGTGGAGGTCCTGCCAAGGTTAAAAGACCCGTGGTTCGCCCATGCCGAACTGACAACCCCTCCGAGCCTCCAAGTACTCCTCATGTGAGGAGTACGCCATGTCCATGTACCTCGGGGACTGCAGCTGGTCCCACTCCCGAGGCTGGAGACCCTCCCAGCGATCACCATCTTCCGGCACGAACTCCCCGTGATACAAATCACCTTCAACTGGACAGCGGAATTTCATTTGAAGGCGCAATAAGGCAGCGGAGCAAGCTGTTCGCCGTTCACCGGAGCAAGCCTCCACCCTCAAACACAGATGCAAAGGGTCTTCTGCTACACCCTGCAAGCATGGGAGAACATCTGTGGCGCCTTCCACAGAATCCGGGGAATCACTGAACATGAACTGCACTGTCTGACGTGCTGCCAGGGGCAAGATTTCTGCTATAGCTGCCCGGAAACATGTTGACCCTTCCGTGTGTTGCAGGCTAAAGCCTGGCACTGCTCCGGACCTGCCGATGACGGTGTGCAAAGCATGCGCACCATCCGCGCGCTGTTCCATGGGCTTCTGACCGATCAGTGAAAACAGGGTCTGATATGTGGCATCATGGCTGCACACAATCCATTCCTGCTTCTCCGTGGAAGCCTTAATGAGATGAGCTTGTAACTGTTTCACGAAAGGAAGATCCATGACTTCTTGCACAAGCTCAGTCCGGCTGTCCCGCCGTCGACAGCCCATCCATGCACACTCGCAACCGCGAGCAACCCACTCGGATGTGATGTCATTGAACATTGCCTGGATCTTGCCTCGGTGCCGAAGGGCCTTTGCAAACACCAAATCTGCGAAGTCTTTCTGATAGTACATTGCTTTGTTCAGTCGCCTGGCCGCAGCTGTCTGCGGTTTCAGCACGTACTGGGGCCCGCTACCAGTGAGGAGAAGCACCAGGTCAACTGAGTTTTGCCGCTGCAAGCACTTCAGTGTGTCCGCATCTGGGCTAACCCAGGATGCAATGAGCCTGGCAGACGAAGATAGTAAATCATCCTGTTCCGCCTGCGGCTGTAGAGCACGCATGACCTCATCAGATACGCAACGCCCAGAAAATCCGCTACCAACCCCTTAGCAGATTTCTTCGATGCGCCTTACTTAGAAAATAACTATCTCTGCAAGCGGCTTGTCTCTGCTCGAACACGGCACACGCTACCGCGAACTGCTGAGGAATTACCACAAAGTCGCGTGCCGCCACATGGTACTTCTGAATGTGATCCAACGCCCTTCCTCTCCGCTGAAAGGTTCTGAACGGGCAGAGCTTGCAGTGGCAGTCTTCGCCCGCCGCCTGCCCTGTGGCTTCTTGCAGACCTCATCTGCATGCTTGCCTGCATCGTGCCTAACGCCATCTGCCTAGCAACAAATGAGGCCCGCACGCTGCTCCTCTGCGCGTACTTCCCGCTCCATCGAAGAACGGATCACGGACATCATGTCTTCTGCCAAGTCCATGCCCGCAATGAGCTCCAACTCTGCCACAGCAGTAGGGACAACGCGCTTGCGCCTGCGTTTGGCCGCCCCAGCTGGCGCCACGTCAACCTTGAAGAGCTTCAAACCCTGCAGGCAACGGATCTCCTGCAGGAATTTCGCCGCATTCACTTGAATGCCTTCACTTTCATGAGACGAAAACACCACCAAACCACTTGGCCCCACATGAACGCCATAGCAGTGGCCGCACTGC